TATTTTCGGCGTTGTAAAATGTTATCTAATAGAAGGATCTGTGTTTGATTGACTGGAGGTAGGCTCGCGTGTAATTTAGCGTGCTTTGATTACATCTTAACTGCTCCCGCTTTTTGCCAGCCCGACAATTGATTTTTATGGCTTTATCTCCTTCTGCTTGAAGAAAAAAGTACACACCGAGCTACGTTTCAATTTCTTTTCTTTTATTCCATTCGAAACGATTGAGAATTAATATCGAACACTTGGGAATTAATTTTTAATGGAAAATATGATTATTTTAATTTTGGAAGGAACAGTGAAATAATATTGGAAAATGAAATTTGGGCTCTCTTCATGGTCCGCGCGTGCGTTTCCGATAAGAAATGCGAAATGTTTCTACAACCATTGCTTTTTGTTTCCATTTCATTTCATTATTTCCGATCCAACACTTATTTGCAATTCAAGATGGCCGAAATGCTCAGCCCCCATGGCTGCCAGCGGAGAGATTCGTACAGGGCGATAAAAAATAAAAGGAGAAATAATAAAGGGGGCCCTCTCTCGACGGCGACCAATCCTGGTCCGGCTTGATCATATCGTTCGACTTAATTTATTATTTTATGCGTGGCACACGTGTGCAATGTGCACACGCAACTATAGCCTGGTCCGTCTTAAAGCTTCGTTCATAGAACAGCCATGAAACGCGAATCGAGAACACAATATCCTTGAATCGAAATATTGGAAATTTTATTTGCCGTTCCCGATGATTGCACTGTCTCGAGAGTATCAATTTTTTTTCCTCAATAATATTTTTACAAATGAAACTTTTGCCAAATGAAATAGTTTCTTTTGTTGAAAATTAAACTTTGATTGTTAGTAATTGTAACAATTTTTATAAACCGAGAATTCGCGGTATTGAGAAAACGGACAGAGGGGTGGAAAAAGCATTGCAGAGGTTTTTCGTTTCAATCGTAGGGGTGAACGGGGGGGATGCAGTAACCAATGAGATCGAATTGGGCCACGCAAGAAAAATTCTCGACGGGTAGCACGGCTTGAAAGAAGCGTAAGAAATGTTTAAAAAGTTGATTCTATTTTTTCCCCTCGTTTATTACGTTCGTAAACATATTCCGAGAAGTTGGGACACAAACTGTACTTACAAAGTCGAATTTAAAGAACGCTCTTCTTTTATTCTTAAAAGTGAGCGGTATAATGGTCGAAGTTGCAAAACGAGGAAGAAAATAAATTAAAAGTTTGATTTTACAAAATTTGTAAATTGTTAGAAAACATTTTATCAGAAATAGATTGATACCTTTTCAGAAAAAAAACAAAATAAATAAATAAAAAGAATCAAACTCTTGCACACAGTTTTCAATGTGTTCACGCAGAGAGGGTAGAAGGTGGTTGAACAGCACCCATTGCGGTACGTATACGCGACGGGGGTGGCATTCGGGTGGAAAAACCTACCCCAATGGGGTAGGCGGTGGGTGTTTCTCGCGAGGGATGGGCAAAAGGGAGAAATAAGAAAAGCTGGAGCCACGAAGGAGACGACGTCGTCGTCGACGACGACGGGATATCTGGGTCGAGACTCGTCGTCGCCGACGTCCCGGCGCCAGGCGTCCTTTTCTTTGCCTTTTTTTCGGCAACGAAGAACCGAGAAAAACGTCGAAGAAGGGAGAAACACTGCCGGTCTCCGTTGTTTCGTGGTTTCCTATTCTTTTTTTTTTTCAACCTCGTACCCCTTTGCGTTGTTCGCCAGGGGATGGAAAGATGATAAGTCAAATTGTTCCTCGCTTGTGATCGCGACTCAATGCGGCCGTGCTCCCTTGGAACGCGTTCAACAAATTCCCTGCAGAATCTCGAATTTCCCACTATTTTTATATTTTTTCTTCCTTTCTTTTCCTTATTCAACTTCGATTCAATTCACGAACGTTGGTGTACTAAAATTTCTCTGTAATCAACGCCATAAAATGCTCCAAATAAATTTAAATAAGCTCTCGTCTAGAAACTCCTTATCGCGAACTGAAAAAGAAAAAAATTAGGAATAAAGGAATTCCTTAGATGAAAGGAGGTGTCAAGAAACGAGAGGAAAGGTAGAAGGATAATCATCCCTGCGATCATTGGCAACGGGCCACACGGATATCCCGTGGACGAAGTCGAGGTGGCCCGATAAGACGCAAAACTCGTGAATAGTAGTTGGAAAGGGGAGGGGGCGGTGTGGCAGGGTGCGAGGTGAAAATTAAAGAAGCGCTAAGTCGGTCGCTAAACTGAAGAACCACTTGTTGAGCAGCTTGTGGCGGTGGCACGTTGGTTACACGGAGCTTGGAGGGGTTGGAAAGCACCGACAGACGACGGTGTGGCAGGGGTGGAACGGTTGACGGGGACGGTAGGGTGCGGATATGCAGATGAGGGGTAGCCACCCCGTGTAACTAACTTCTAACTTTCGCGCAAAGGCCGACCTCGGTATTCTGTTGCTTTCATAACGGCCGTCTGAATGACATTTTTTCACCTTTCAACAACTCGCACGCATTTTAAGATAAAATTCTGAAAGAAAAATGAAAAGATATCCCTCATTTGCAATTTCGAAAACAATCGGCGCGTGGGAAAGAGCGAATGATAAAAACCGGAAATCACGTGAAGAACATTGAGAGTCTGACTTGTCGCGCGGTTAACGGTAAAACACCCGTTGGAAGGAAGCTCGGCGGATCCTAAGGAAAGGAGTTCTCGAGTTCTCGATATGGGTAATTGTGTAAAGCAAACGTCGAGGAACTCCACCTCTTCCGCTCCACCCCGACAAACCAAAACACAAATAATCGCGGTGAAAGAGTGGAAACGGCCACGGACCAGATGAAAGGACGGGGTTGCGCTCCCATCGGGCTACTCGAGGGAAATAGAAGATAAAGAAAGAGAAAAAAAAAGGGTGGAATGCCAAGTGTGAAGCTATCTGCATGTGAATGGTACAATGGTAATTGGGGATGCACCGTTAGAGGATATTAGAGGTAGCAGACGACTATCCCCTCTTTACCTTTCATCCCTGATTCCCGTTGGACTTTTATGCAACCACGTGAAACAGCATCTCCTGCACGCTAGCGGAGTCACGTTCTTCCTGGATATTTTCATTGCGTGCGTGTGATTCGAGGTTACCTCAAAAGCTGATACCACTCGAAAAGAACTACGGTGTTACCTGCTCATGTGACCCATCTGTTATTCGCCAGCCTCCTTAGACTGTGCATGGTGTCACATGTTTTGGAAGAATGGGCTTTAGGTTTGCGTGTACGGTACATATATTACGCCCTGATTCATAGGTGCGCTTTGAGGGCTGATCTATGGGTATATAACAAGTGGATTCATCTTGCGTTGAAACGAAACGATTTTAATAAGTGACTGTTTCTTTTATTTCCTCGAGTTCTACTCGAAGGGAAACTTTGAATTGTTGAAAAATTTTCTGCATTTGTTTACCGCCTAACGCAGCTTCGATTCGCTAGGAAAGAAAAGAAATTTTCAATTCGTTGGAAAAGTTGCGGTAAGGAAACGCATCCGTTCTACGCTCGCGTCTCGCAACGATCCCATTTGTCACTTAAATCGCGTTCGCGGAGAATCGATGATTTCCGTCCCGCTGCAGCGTATTACTTTTACATTCGAGACGAACACGGCCCGGCCAGCCTCCATTATCAGAGGCCATCGCCTTAAACTGCGCCTCGTTACCGCCTTCGATAAAACATTCTCCGAAGAAACAAACAAACAGTCATCTGGAGAAAGAATACAGCGGTTCGATCAGCGTCGCGAAAATTGGAACGAACAGCTTTAAAGAAACTTCTTTAGGCGTTCGTAGCGTCGGTTAGTTTTATCAACGCTACGTTGCGGTGATTAATTTTTAATTGATTTTTCCGAATTAGAAAATCGATAAGGAAAGGGAACAGTTAAAGTATCCGATAAGAGGAGAAGAGTGGGAAGATATCCGGCATCGATTCTCCTTTTAAAAATTCGTCTGTCGACGAACGATCGCGGAAGGGTAATTGAAAGGAGAGACAGGATTAAAGGAGCTGCGACATCAAAGAGATGAACGCGGCAATCGAATTCCATCGTGACACAGATACTTTATTAGAGTGAAACAAAGAATCGGACGGGGCGCAGAGTTCCGCTCGAGGGTTAATTTATGTACGGAATGTACGAGTCTCTCCAAGTGGTGGCCATGTTGGTTTCGACGTGCTCGTCAAGGTATATTCCCCCTTCGCATCACGCGAGCCCCGTTCTCCTCGATCTTCCACCCCCAGCCCCACTTTCTTGCCGGCGAACACACGTGAGACTGGCACACGAACGGGAGAAACGATGTGTGTTTTCTCCTCGTCAAGGCGCATGCTGCACTGCGCACAACCCCTATCCTCCTCGTCCCATTCTACCACCCACCCTCCGTTCGGTACCCCCTACAACCCCTTCGAGCGTTCGTGCAACCCGCCATGCAACGCTCTAGGAGGCGACTCTTATTATTTCCATTTTTCCAATTCGGTCTGGAGGGCGGGAAACGTGCAACCCCCTCCCCTCTGTTCGATGCCTTGCACCCCTCGTGGCCGACCTCCCTTCCACCCACCCAACTGTTCCCTTCCTCCGTTGCAGCCTCGTCTCCTTCGGCTGGCCAGCCAAAGGAAAAATATCTATATTTATCTGTTTCTTCGCGGGATACGTCGTCCTGCAACCCCCGCCGCTGAAATTTCTTTTTGTTCGTTTCTTCTTCTCCACCTCCAGCTTGCGAGTTTCTCGGTCTTCTCTCCCACCCTTTTCTCGGTTTTCTCGCTACCTTCTCTACTCTGTACAACGAATTCTCTCTCCGTCGCTCGTTTTCTTCCTTCCTTTCGGTCTTCTCCTTACCTCCGCCCAACCACCCCCTTCCCACACGGACTTGTGGCGGGAGAGACAGATACACGGTGGTGGGACGGAGATCGACCTAGTGTGAAAGGAAGAGGAAGGATAGAAAGATTGGAAAGAGAGAAAGAGAGAGAGGAGAAAAAGAAAAGGAAGGAAAAGACGGAGGGCACCACGACGACGACGACGACGACGACGACGACGACGTCGACGACGCCGGCAGCCGCGGCGAAGCGTGCGCGCCTTTCCTTGGCCGGCGGCGCGACAAGGAGGATACGGAGGAAAGGAAAAGGACGGAGAGGGCGGTTGAAAGCGGAGCAACGGAGAAGGATCGACGAAGAGAGAAGGAACAGCGAAGCTTCCGCTTCCTTATGCTCCGCCGCGGACTGCATCAACCAGTCGCGCGGTCGCGCTCACATAAGAAACTGGGAATCGAGAGACAAACCCCCTTCTCGAACCGCGACGCGGTTTCCGTGAGCGGAAGAAATTCGGTCCTCGAAAATGTCCGTGCTCGCGTGACGCAGCTGCGACGGACACCGTAACGAGATCCTTTCGAACGTTGCCACCCTTCGAAACGCACCGGTTAATTGACTCGACGACGCTCGAACTGCGACTAACCAGTCGCTTGCCCCCACCATCACGCAACCGAAGGCACGAAACCGCGCGAATTTGTGCGGAGACGCACGAGCGGCCGTGAGGCCCCTCGTTTCGGGCCCGGTCGCGATCGTTCGGCCGCGTTCGTACGTATCTGGGCCCTCGAGCGACCAATCGCGTTCCACGATACCCTACCGTGTCGCATACTGGAGATGAAGAGGGGAGGCCATCGGGCCTCCTGGACGATCGAAAGGTCCGCGAAAGAAGACATGCCCGCAACGAACGCGGATTCGATGGATGTCTAAGGAAGGATGTTCCTCGATGCAACGAGAACAGGAGGATGTTCCTCTATACGTTTCTTCTTCCTCTTCTTTCTCTACTTCTTCTTCTTCTCACCGCTCTACCTCTTCTGCTACCTGGCGACGGACGAGTCCGACCAGGCGGAGGAGGATCTCTTCCGTGGATGTGTCGAGGGTGAAATTGTAATAAACGGGTGACTGGACGGCTGTCACGTTGCACGCCGATGAGGAGGGAAACGGAACGAAAGAAAGAGAGAAAGAGAACGAGAGATGAGCGTGTGAGAGAAAGGGTAGGAAGTACAGAGGGCAAGAAACGATCAACCAAAGTTCCTATTTTTCACGTGTTTTACGCGAAACTCGCCTAACAAAGTAGGACGTAAGAGAGAAGAGAGAAGCAAAAACAAAAAAAAAAAAAAAAAGAAGAAAATAATAGAAAAATAGAAGAAATTTTTCGTTCTTCCCGGTGTGTCCATCCGGCAGCCAGAAGAAGAGAAGAATCGCGGGGGTGACGTGGAAAAACGCGGCACGCACGCCGGAAAACCTCGTGTCCGCGGCACCGGTGACACCCTCCCGCGCTAATTAGCCAGCCAATTAGAAAGACCGCGGCCATGCGTAATGAGCTGCGCGCGCAAAAGTTCCTAAACGCCACGATGCAATGTTTTTTCCTGCTGATGCCTCGTCTCGCCGGCCTGTTCACAGGCGACCACTGATAATATATTGATAAGACGTTAATAAAAGCTAATTAGAAGTACAGTTAGAAAGAAAGTTAGCGGATCGACGACAGGATCGGGATCGAGCTTCCTCCAGGACACTGGAAACGAGCACCCGTGTTTCGTACATCGTCCACTTCCGTCAGGCAATAAAACACAATTTAAAAAACGAATTTAAGAAGGAGGTGTGCGAATAAAGTGTCGATCGAACCCGATTGCACGATCGTCGAAGCAGCTTTACTTTTTTTTAAATTAAATAATAAAATAAATATAAGAGAACACGTTGTAAAAACCTCTTCGAGCTGCCACGTGGCAGCTCTATTCAAGCAATCCTTGGACCGCGACAGTGGTGTCGACGGTGATTTTTAACCTCTACGACTAAATAAAGTTAGGTGATTAAGCGAGGAAGAGCAAATCTATATCTATATACAATCTATATTATATATACACACTTGGAAAGCGTATTTAATTATATATTCCTATACACACGCAAGGAGCACATGTACAGGTATTTTAATAAGTTGACGCAATCACACGATCGAGTCCTTTCAAGGGCTGACGTCGAACCTGACCGTCGAGGATAAGAATCGTCGAAGGAAGATTGATATTTTTTATCGGTGGAGAATAGGGTGAGGTTGGTGAGGGAATAAGATAATAAATAAAGGAAAAACAGAACATGTCCACGATGAGTGTCGTGTCGAATTCGTCGGTCGAGGTTGACTCGGACTCCTCGAACGATATATCGAGCAAGGACGAAGGAACCGCCGAGCAAAAGTTCATCCTTCGAAACGAATTGTACAACAGCCTGCTGGCAAGCGCCCTCGGCAAGACTGTGCTCAACAGGCATCTGAACTTGAAGGAGCAAGGGATTAATTTTAATCTGGCCAATCTAAAGGATAACCTGAACGCGTTGGGCGCCCTCAAGGAGCTGAAGGATCTCAAGGGATTGACCGTCAGCAGTGTACCAGCCTTCCCAAGGAACTTGGCTCTGCATCGCGAGGATCACGACGAGGTCAGACCCGAGTGTTCCCTTCTTCAGATTTTTCTCCACTTTCCTTTCGTTGTCGATCAAATGAAATTCAGTAGTTTGCAATTTAAAGAAAAATATGAGATTCCCTTTGTTTTAGAAGATTGAAAATTGTAATATTATTTTTACTTATTTTTCTTTATCCTGCGAATGCCCACAACCCTCGCCCCCAGTGAACGCGTTAAAAGAAAGAAGAATGGAGAGCGGAGAGCATCGGAATCGATAATCCCCTAAAGATACCGCGTCTTTACTGACCTACCCTCTCGCAACCTCTCCCAAACGACCCCAAGAAACGAGGAAGAAAACAAATTCACAAATTTCCACCCCTACCAGTTGAGAGGGTAAGGGTCTTTAGGAAAAGAAGTTATCCATCATCTACAAGTTTAGATCGGAAAGGGTAGTTTTATAGAGAATCAACAGCCACTCGAAGGGCGAAGGAAACGATTTCAGAGTTTAAAACGTGTCCTACGACGGTTCACGGTGAATTGTCAGTTAAAAAGTTAGTGGATACTTTGGTGGCAGGAGTTTTCGTGTAATGGTTGTGGAAAAGGAGGGTGGAAAGGTGGTTGCGGACACAACAGAGAGATTTCGGTCGGGCGAGAAGAAAATCCCGTTTGCTTGACAATTACTTCTTGTTTTGTCGACGAATTGAGTCTTCGACTTTCGAACTACTTTTCCCCCTGTTCTGTTGATTTTTCATGGTCATTGTGTCTCCTTTTTCTATTGATTTCTTTATTACAAAAAGAATCTCTTTAGAGAGCAATAATATAAGAATATTTTTATATCGTGTGTATTCTTAGATCTAACACTTTTCAGTTTATTATTTTCCTTTTCTTGTTCGCTGCGACAGAAAAAATGAAGCACGTTTAAAAAGTTGTCGGCAGAAGGACTTTCCTCGGCGAACGAAACTTTTCCACGGTTTAATTTATTAATTTGTCGAAACGAACGCGCGTACCGTAAGCTTCGAGCTTCCTGTTGCTTCCTTTTGCTTTTCTGACCGAGTTATCGCCACGAGGCAACTTTTCTTGGCACGTACGCGGTTTTGGCTCGGTTCGCTTGATTCCGCGACAACTCTTGACCCAAATAGACGACGCACTTTTCCCGGAGCTTTTCCTTTTTTTTCCTTTTCCAACGACGCCGAAACGTCTCGCTGAAACGCAGCCCCAATTATGCTTCTCAACGATCTCTCTCTTTTCCACGAAAATATACGATGATTCATAATTTATTATCTTCGAAAAATTTTCCTTATTCTGGCATTAATTCTATTTTCAACTGGCATTTCCTTCGAAATTTGAGAAACAGTTACGAGTTAAAAGCTTCAGGAAGGAAAAACCGAACCCCTTGTGGCGCGTAAATGGCGAATGACCGAGCTTTTGTTGAATCTTGATAAAAGGAAGGAAGAAAGCAGAGGCGGAAGAAGGGAGAGGAATGTCGACACGCGGAACACGGGCCGTTTTAAAACGTGTAATTAAGCGCGAGAGGTAATAATGAAACGCATCATCCCCCTTGGCTCGAGAAATAACAGCCCTTTGGGGAGGCTGCGATTTCAAACGAGCTTTCTCACGATGCGTGCTGCGCGCGATCAATTAACAGTCGAATACGTCAGCTCGTTAATTACCAGCCGCAGGAACGTTGGAAATTTTCCAAGGGTTTCCTTAAGGGAACGGGTGTCTTCCATGATTTATTCAACGAAATATTTATCCGTTAAATTATTGAAAAAATTAAGCCCGGCAATAAGATATCTGCAAGTCAACGTTCGTCAACGAAAAATCGTATTCGTCTTTTATTCCTTCGATCAAGAACGATTATTTCATGCAACAAATCCGTTCTAAATTGTCTCAATAACGTCCCATTATTGGCGAGACGGTCGCTGGGTTATTTAATGGAATTTTTAATGAACGATTAACGTGGCCGGTTTATTAGCCGGTTGTCACAAATCCCAGACGAAAGACGTATCGCACGGATATTATTTCAGTTATTTCTATCTTCTGTTTTGATCAAGAGTGGCGTTGCCGCGTTCGAGTATTGATTCGCCATTTATCCGACGTTCTTCTCTACCCTTATACGACCCATGAATTTCTTATCGAGCCATCGCGAGCAATCGATGCCTGAGATTGCATAATTATGCGTAGACGAATTGATCGGGAGCATAGTAATTCCGAGTCAAGCTTCGATTTCCAATTAAACGAATCCTTCGAACCCGAAGAATATTTACATTTGCCCAAATAATTAATCGCTTGAATTTTAAAATAATTTGGAAAAATTATTTAATTTGTTTCTCTTTGTTACAGAAGGCCTCTTTTGCGTGGTCCGAGGGTGGCGAAGAGGGTGGCGGTGGAGGAGGCGGAGGTGGTGGAGGAGGCGGTGGTGGAGGTACGGCTGGCACCGGAACCGGAAGCACGGGCCCAACAGCCACCGGAGGTGGCGGATTGGCTCATTGGGTTAGCGTGATGGCCGAACACATCCATAATCCACATTCCGCTACCAGTGTGGGTGGTGTTCATCATCAGCAACAGTCACCTCCTCAACCACCCTATCCTTGGAACAATGGCCTCTCCAGTGAGGTAAGTACCATTTTGATTTCCAAAATTTTCAATACAGATGCTTCAATTGCTATCAACAAGAGTCTAACATTATGAAATTTCTACAAAATTATATCGCGGAGATTTCTTTGACCACTCAGCTTGGATAATGCAATTCCAAGCGTAATTTCTGCAGCTTATTTAGTCGATATCGTTGAATTAAGATTCGAGTCGAATGTTTCTCGCGAACATAAGGCAAAGTTTTCACGAGCCTCGTTGCAAGTTTCCTGCTGCGATGAAATAATTCGAGGATTAATTTTATACAGGAACGTATTACGAGTGCTCCACGAACGTGGAGGAAGGGGGGTGAGTTAATTGGCGACAAAGAGACCGGCGTTTAAGCCGCTCCTCGTCGCGAAAGTTTTACGACGATAACCGTGGCGGCTCGTTTCTTGCCTTGGCTACTTTTACGTTCGATAAATGTGGGTAAATTATCAACGTCCGGACGTCTTCATTCGAGACAAACTGGATACAGGGTTGAAACGTTACGGTAACTCGTTATCTCCTTCGGTTTGTTGCGCTGGGAGTGGTCGGAGATCAGATTCAGTCGTATATAAACGAGGCACTGTCGTTTCTTCAGGTTTGTTCAGATACTTCTGTAAATATTCAACTAAATAATGATACATTTGATGTCAACTACGTTGCCTGAGAATGTAGAGGGTGAGCCAAAAGGGACGGCAAACTTTCACTACCCTTAATTTTAAATTATTAATTTCCTGAAATAGATAACAGAATGATAGCTTGAAAAATTAAATATGAAAATAACAAAGTGTTAATTATTTAGCTTTCGATGTACGTCACAAAAAATCAGTTGATCGAATTTCAGCTGTTATAAAAAGGGTTAGAATAAAAAAAGGGTCCTACAACCAAACGAACGTTTCTTTAACGGAAGAAGGACTATAAAAAAAAAAAAAACGAAACGGCGAGCATTAAAATCACCCGGAAGACACCGTTGGATCACGCGAGACTCGAAAACTCGCGAAAAAAAAGGATCTCTCTTTTTTTTTCTCGTTCCACCGGGGAACGGGTTACCCCTGTTTTAATTTTATTTACCGCGCCCTTCTATCACAAAATCCTGCATAATTTCGACAAGGTTGGATTAGAAGCGGTAGAACAGGGAAGAGAAAAAAAAGGACGCGAGAGAAGACAATGAGATAGACCCCGATGCAAAAAATGAGAAGACAGAGGACTGGTGGAGGGATGCTGGAAAGGGTTGAAGATCGTTTTGCATACTCCTCGCCCCGCCCAGAGTTGAAAAAAAAAACAAACGGAAGCGCGAAAAAAAATGTTCACCAAGGCAGAGACACCAATTGGAAATAGAGACAAGGTGGGGGTTGATTTGAATGCGCACAAGAGATCTCTTAAGGGTGTACTTTCTTTTCGACCACGCAACGGTACATCGTGCCTCTTTTCAAGAGAAAAAGAGCCTAGCTCTCATTTTTTTCACTTTTTTTTTATATTTCTTATAATCTTCAATAAAACACGAGTGGTATGAAATTTAGAAGAAACTGCTAGAAGGGGTTGCAATCGTGCACCCTGTGCAACAATCGCAGCAATCAGAAGCGAACCCCTCGAAACAAAGAACTTACAAACGAACGAGTATAGCAAGGTGGTAGGAATACGAATGACCGCTCGGAGGGTGCCCCAAGGGTGAGTCTGGGACCTGTGCAACACGGAAGACGTTTCTGTGGGCCCTGAACGAGGATCAGCCGGTTCTTTTTTTTTTTTTTCTTCTTGTCTAACCCATGGTGCCCGCAGGACCCACGCCATGGAACTCTTAGAGAGGTCTCTAGGAAAAAACAAGGAGCCAGGACAATGAGGGGACGATTTAAATAATCCGCGGTATGCAAATGCTGCCGAGATTCTCACGGCACTGGCTCACTTCGGTGGATACGGGTGGGGGGTTGATGGAGAGCAAGAGAAAAAGGAAGAGGATGCGAAGACAATCGGGCAATCTGCATACGGGCTACGAGCTTTCAACCCTTGCCAGTATTTCGGGGATGATAGACGACGTTGGAAGATGAAATTTAATTGACGGGGTTTCTGCTCTCTTTCGAAGATATTTCTTTCGTTTCACGGAGATAGGGTGTCCTAGCGATAATAAGAATAAATTTTAATCCATAGAGTAGGGGTGTTGAACGAAGGTTGTCGTTTCTTTTAAAAGAAAGTGAGTTTGTCGGAGACTTTTAATTCTTTCTGAAAGAAGAAGCTCTCGTTTCTGAAAAGTAGTTCAAGGCCGTTCTGTCGAACATCTTCGACCTCCAACAAGGAGGGGTTGAAAAGTAAGAACCGGCTGTTGTACCCCTGTAAACACGTTTTCGGATGTTGTAATCTGTCGCCGGTTTTGCCCAGCGGGTGGTCAACCCTTTTTCGATGCTTCTTCTTTTTACGCCTGCCCGACCTTAATCCCTTAAAACGCTTAGAGCAGCTCTTTAGGGTAATTTCGAAGGGAGAGAGGATAGCGAAGGTGAAGATGCAAAACACCTTGGAAAACACCAGCCCGAAGCGACTAACTGGAATCCCCGTACCGCGTGAGATTCCTGCAAGAGACTACCCCCATGAAGATTATGCAAAGGAACGCTCTCTCTTGCACCCCTTTGCCTTCGATTCCATCCCTTCCGTGCCGCGTAGCCTGGCACGAAAATTAAAATAATGGCTGTTGCATACCCCTGCTGCCAATTTCCAACCCCTACCACCCCTTCCCTCCGTCTCACTGTCTCTCGTTTCTTCGATCACCCCTTCCACGTGTCTGCCATTCTCTTTTTCCACTATTTTTTTTTTCTTCTTCCTTGGGATGCCTTTTTTTCGTCGAAACGGGGATGCAAATCGTGCAACGGCATTTTTGTCTCTGCTCGACGTGAGATTGGTGGAAAAAAAAAAAATGAGAAAAAACGACGCGATTCATAAGGGTGAAAACCGTGTCATTGTTACGGACGTTACAGGGGTAAGCGAGAAGGGTGGTTCTTTCTTCTGTTCCTCGATCTGGATCGGCTAATGAATTTTCACGTAACGTATCGCGGGACCAGTGATCGTAAAAGGGGTGACCATCAATTTTTTCTGCCACTTTTTTTTCCGTCTCCAATTTCTTGTTCAAGGGTGAATTCAACGGTTGTTTCAATTTCATACATGTTTTTTAATAGTTCTCTGTGACTAGTCTGCGTTGTTAATTTTCGTTGACTGGTTCTGCAGAGGGAATTTTTATTGTTCTTTTTAACGGGTGATTGTTTAATAAAATCAGAAGGGTGGAAGACTGAAATTGCAACCCTTACTACAATATGATTCCTCCTTTTTAAATGTACGAATCTACAATTAGAATCGCTTTACATACTGTGATTCGATTGGTTCTATAATCAAAAATTCTTTAAATAATTCTGAGAAAAATCTTGGATGCAATTTCAAGCCGGTGTATTGAAAGAATGAAAGACAAAATGCGAGTAGTTTGTGAATAATCGATCGTCGAAAACGATTCCTGGCTCGTCGAAGTGGAAACACAACCTGCGCCGTTTCTCATCTCTGAAGGAAAAAGAAACTGAAGGAAATCGGCGGGAAATCGTTCCACCTCGACGAACAGAACGTCGACGAAAGGATTGAAGGACGAGAACAGGGTGGAAAAGGGCCATAACTCTGTCCGGGGCCCAAATGTTGTGACACTGTCACCAAGAAAGGGGCTTCATTGTCTCTGCTTGGCCTTATGTTCGTGGGGGGTTGTTTCCCTGGAGGGGTTCTAATAGAGAAATTGAAAAGTGTGAAATTTCCTGCTTCGAAAAATGATAGTTCGTCGAGTTCGATTGGGGTGAGATCATTGTTAAAATGATTCACCATTAAACCTCGGTTGGCGGACCATGGAGAGAGCCCCAATTTCAATTTCATTTAATTTCCTAAAATTATTCTCCTAACATACGAAACTCTAAATCATCCACTTTCATCCTAAAACACTATCGATAAGAATGTACAATCTCCAGCACCCTTAAATAACCAATCGATACCAATAGAAAAGAAAATTCCCATTCACGATCAGTCACGAAAAGTCGAAGGTCACCGTATGTATTCGATGCATCAATTTGCACCCTGAAGACGTGACCAAGAATGTCAAAGAAGCGCCGTTAGTAGCAAAAAAAAAAAATAAAAAAAAAAATTAGCACCCATGAGAAGAAGATAGAGGAGACGTGGCTCTTCCGGAGATTACGTGTCCCATCTCGAGGTGGAGAAAAAAAAGAGATTCCCTGCCCGCGAGGGGTGACTGTAAGGGGTGCGTATGCAGATGATAGCGAAAGTGGAGTACAAAGGGCCCATAGTCTCACGCTATTGTGGCCCAGGTAAGATAAAGGTTCACTGGCCCTGAGGCGGGCCGCAAGCAGCCGGTCCTCTACCGTGATGTCTCTTTAATTTTTATTAATGACGAGGAATTTGAATTTCTGCATCGGTGATATGGGAACCGTGCTGAGGACGATCTCGTCGAACGTGACTCGGACGAATCTTTTCGAGAGGCTCCGTGGCCCTCTCTCGCCATCGATCATAATTAGCCGGTTTACGGGACGGGTTACGGTGTCGCGAGGAATTCTCTACGCTGGAGGTGCGATCCTTCGGTGTCCCGGACAGGGTTATGGGAGACGAAAATTCTTCTGGAGCGATGGAAATTGATTCTAGGGGTTTAGTAGGTTTCTTTTAGAGGAGAATTGAATTTTTGAAAAATTTTTCAATGGGTGTCGTTGAAAATTGAAAAACAAAATAATATAATTTTTTTCTGTAGCAAAGTTAATTTCTAAATCGAGCATTTCCTGATGTACCAAAGCAATTTGCCCGCGTTGTCGAGCAGCCGTGACCAAGAAGACGGAGGAGAGATTCTAATTAATGCATTCCGTGTTGTCAGCTCGTTAAAGTGGCGCGTAGAAATGCGTGTCGCGGAGAAACAGTAGGTTCAGTGTTTTAGACGGCCACGTGTTTTTTAATGACGAGTAGCAGACGCCGTGGCGTTTCATTGA